GAATCTTCTGATATGAACTACAGATCTGTGTGCTTATACAAAGAGTCTCCACTGATTCTCATATTTACCTTGGCTTAGGATCCACTGAAGATTCTGCTCGAGAACAGGCACATGGCAGAAGGGGGAAAGCAAAGGGAGAAGATAATGGGGAGGTAGATAAGATCAAAGCACATTACATGCATGCATGAAAAGAGAACAATGAAACCCATTAAACATTGCAGAAAGGGGGTGAATATGATCAAAGTACATTATATTTATGTATGGAAATATCACAATGACACCTCTATAATTAGTATACACTTATTAAAAATTTATAAAACAGCTTTGATACAGACCTCTAACAGCATGTACCCAAAAGGATAAAGATAATAAAACCTTATCATTACATATTGCATTTAAGCAAGCATTTTTGTACTATTTGTCTTCCTTGGTGAAGTATTAGTAAATGACAATATGTGGCCATAACACCTATTAATTTATAGAGGATTTGAACCACTAATCTAACTTACAGAGTGGGTTCCCCTTCTTTCCTCACTACCCATGATTCATTCCTTCAAAAAATTGTTTGCTTTCTTGATGGTGATGATCTTAAGAATTATGGAAGATCTTCAGAAAATTGCATTTTCTTTCCTATAATTCATCTTTCTTCCCATGGATAACTGACACTTCTTGGCTATAACTATAATGTTCAAAATATTTTGGGTTTTGTTGGAAATTTGTAATTAATATTTCTGTCTTCCTCTAATGCTTATTTGGAGGCATTAATATTTCTTTTACTCCCAAAATATATGAGAAATCACCATCTTAAAAACAGAACAATCAAACAAAGATTATTAGCTTATAGTATCTTAAATACCACACTGAGGGCTCCTGAATTTAACCCTGCCTTGCAAGCAAAATGCTAAATTTAATTTAATTTATTAAAATAATATACTGACTGACTCTTTGCCTTTGATAATACCTTATATTATTATTACAATTTATATGTAATGATCACTTAATACTTATTCATACTATACTGCAAGTATAAATAAAACCCTGGCATAACCAATTCTTGCCTTTAATATTACCATTAAGGGTATAGACTTTAGAGTGAAACTTCTCTGAACTCTTGGCTCCTTTACCTGATAGATGTTTTGCCAAAGAATAGTACATTAAACTTCTTTTAGTCTAATTTTCTTTACTTGAAGATGGGCATAATAACAGAACTTGCCTTATTCAATTTTTATCAGTATTAAATTAGATAACCAGTAAATTATTTAGTAAAGAAAGAGAGGGAGTGAGGATACAGGTCAGTGGTAAAGTGCTGGCCTCACAAGCATGAGGTTCTGAGTTTGATTCCCAGCACTATAAGACTGAGGAAAGAAGGAAGGAAGAGAAGTGAAGGATCTGAAAATTAATGTGCAGAGTCCAATACCTTACCAAGCAACTTTTCAGATCCTTTAATAGATAATATTAATTATGAATTTACAACACCTTTGACCATGGCAAAAAGTGGGGACATTCAAAGGCTCAATGAAGTCTTTTGGGACAAAGTGATACCTGCACTGCATATTTAAATAAAGGAAAGGAAGTGAGAACTAGCAAGAGTAAATGAGAATGAGTACAAGGCAGGACCTGGGCACTGAGGGACATTTCATGTAAAGGCATGGGCAAAGGCAGAGAGGTATGAAACAGAATGATGTATCTATGGAGCCTAAATAAATGAACTAGTGAGGGCAACACCAGGAGAATGGGGAAGTTGGCAAGGTATAGATTTTAAAGAGCTTTGTTTATCATGGTAAGAATTTGAAATTTCCATCAAACTGGCAATGGGGGAAGGTATCAGTTGGGACCTCAGAAGGAAACAGATGGCACCTACAAAGATGTAATTGAGGAAAGTGTAATGAAAGGACTTTGTATAACTATGGACTGGACTAAAGGGAAACTACCATGGCCCAGTAAAGCATCCTTGGGTCTGCAACAGTGGGGAGGAAAATACCACTTGTTCTTTAAAGGACAAAGGAAAGAAGGACAGCTGAGAACCTGGAGAAAGCTCCAGTTGAAGCTACAGATGAAGAAGAAGGAAATGCAACAGGAAAGAAATGTGTTTGCCTGTTTGGGGCCTGGCAAGAATGAAATAGGAGAAATACAGTCTATCTTTCTTTCAATCTCCTGTGGCAGTAGAGAAAGATAGAAGATTTTCTGAGGGGAAAACTTAGAATGTCCATCATAGTGATCAGCAAAGTGACACAGTATAATTTGAATTTTAGGTAAGTCACCACAGTAACTATGTAGAAAATGGATCAGAGGCAATATGAAACTACAGAGAGGAAGACTTAAGCTTATAATCACATAAGTGATGAGGAAAGTCCAAAGCAGAGGTACTCTATCAGACTAGAATGAAAAGATTTATGGGAACCTTTGGATATTGAAATTATTAGGACTTGGAAATTGGTTGTGATTAGTGGATAAAAAGGTGACAAAGATTATTCTCACATTACTAGCTTGAATGATGCAGTGTCAAGTGATATGAACAACTAACATAGTGAATCACAGGAAAAAAGCAAGTTAATGGGAGAACTGAAGAATTCCATTTTGAATCCATGGAGTTTGAGAGGCCTGAGGAATATTCAAGTGGTGATTTGACACAAGTAATGAGACTCTGAAAACCATCAAGGATAAGAGACACATTTGTGAGCCATATGACAACATGGTTGTCAGGACTATGAAGATGAGTGATATCTGCAATAGAAACATGTCAACTGGTAATGGGGGTTATCCAAGTAGAATACCCCCGTCTAATATCTGGATTCCTTTGCTCCCAAGAACTTGGACACAATTTTGGTTCTTGGTTCTTCATTGATGATTGCTTAGATTTCCAGCAAGAGTTTCTCCATGAAGTAATTGTGTTGACCTGTTTCAGAGGCAGAGAGTTTATTTTCTGATCCTATTTATCTGTCAAGATCTCCTAGTAGAAACAAAATAGATCTTTGATTAATTGCCTTTTAAAAACTGAATGGATTTTGTACAGGTCCAGGTTGCTTTAATGAGGCAAATACTGGTTAGAATATATCTTTATTTGTTGGTCTCATGGTTTAGGGGATTCTTCCTCGTGGAACTTCAAAGAGCACCTTTCAAGAGTTCTGATCACATAGAGTAGTGGTATAGAGCCCACTGAAGAGAAACTTCACATCTCCCTCTCCCCATTCTTTTTCTCCTCCACAATTTCCTCAGTTCTTTCCCTCCTCCTGCCTGCATGGCTCCCCACAGAATACATGAAAACAATTATGGTAATAAACACAGCAATGGGCTGAACAATCTATGCATGTGTGGCTAACTCAGAACCTTGCTTCAGATATGGAAAACAAGCAATCTTGCATGGACATAGGTAGGTAGGTAGATGGATGCAAAATGCATATGTATTTCGTGGTTGTGTATCCATATTTACAAGCTCATATGTTTTCATGCATGTGCACACATATATGTGGATACACATGTGTGCATGTGTTCAAATGTATACAGGTATAATTGTATGTGTAAATATGTGCCAGTGTATTGTGTGTGCAAAGGTATGGGTACACATATGTGTGTAAATGCTTGTTTTTGCCTAGGAGAGCAAGAGAAGAAGGAAAACCTGCTTGTCCTCCTATGATAAAAAAGAAGACAGCAAAGAGTTAAGGCAATCACTTTGCAAACGATTTTCCAAAAAAGCTGCACCCTAAATTAATTTTGGCTGGTAATCTATATCGGGTTAAATAACTCCTCATTATTCTGTAACACAGCTGAGGCATCTCCAAATGTTTATCTTGTTTTGTAACCGGTACCTTCTGGTATATTCTAGTGCCAGCACTCCCGGCTCCTGCTATATTTCATTCTCACTATTTTTGGACCGATGCTGCTGGTTCCAGGTGATTTAATAAATTGCTTTTTTTTTTTTTGGGTGTTCCTTTTAACTTACCCATCTGCTCAACACATGCGTAACTTGCAATCTGTCGGCAGTTTGCAGAAAGACAAACTGTCAGAGCTGCATGCATTTGACAACTTTGTTCCCAATTAGATTAGTGGTAATTTTAGCAGATTTCAGGGCAATGGAAAAAGGGATGGCATGTTATTAAAGCATCAATTCTGAAAGACCCGAGCACATATGATTTCAATGTAAATTATTTTAAATGCTTTAATTAAAACTAGAGAAAGATTTACCCTTTTAAGTGGTAAGTGATAGCAAGACAAATTTAAAAGGAAAGAGAGTAACCAAGTTTTCTAAGTGGTTTATGTTGTGCAAGGCAGTCCAGCAGTCAAGATGACTGTAATCTACGGCAGTAATGTGGAGGCCGAGTTAATTATTCATTGCTTCCTCTCTGTAGCAGATGTGATTCAATACACGAGGTACAGTATTCAGAGCCTGGAACACTGTCTGTGAAAATCTCAGCTCAGGCTTCGTTTGGAGCCATCAGGAAATTGCCAGAATCTGTTTAACACGTTAAATATATTCATAAGAAAAAATATTTTTTTTCTTTGTTTTTCCTATGTTTCAATGCAGCTGCTTCTTTCCACCACTAATCTCAGCATCCACAGCCTCTGTGTTCCCTCTCCATCTTCAGTCTCATGTCCCTAAAGCACATACACAGATGTACACAAGTGACTAGATTGAGCAAACTAGGGGATTCTGCTCCTCTGGTCACTTCATAGCACATTGCTCCCTAGAAAATACCTCATCTATAATTTAAACTTAGTGCAATAGTCACAATTCCTGAGTGCAGGGCATCATTGACAGAACGTCTGGTGTTCTGGGAGAACAATGACATATATAGGTGGAGAGATTTCCCTGACGAGTTTGACAATGTGCTTGATTTATTCAGCCATAAATCTAACCACTGGTTTAATGCTTCCCATTTGTTCTTTGACAACACTGGACATTTTATTATGGAAATCGCCAATACATTAATTAAGGTTTAATATTCCTCGAACATAATCGCATAAAATTCTTTTACATGCACATTTCTTAGTCACTTGCAAAAGCAACCATATGAACTTGCTGAGGAAAGAGAAATTCACAGCAGGCAGCGTGCAGTGGGCTGGCTCCCATGCACTCACAGGGTTCCAGGAAACTGAGACAAGAGTACCAAAATGAGGATGGTGCCAAAGAGAGACATGCACTTTTCCTAAGATGACCCTTTCCCCAGAGCAGGATGTACTGCACTGGCAACAATACAGGAAGGAAAGCAGCATGACAAGGTAACAATGGCACTGGGCCAAAAGTTAAGAAGGCTGAGTTTGGGACCAAGCTTTGCCATTGAATACTTGTGTGCTTTTAGTGAGGCATATAGCCACCCTGAACCTCAATTTCTTTTTCTAAATATAGGAATAATAATTACTTCCATTGAAAACTCAGAACAATTGTGAACACCAAATATAAAAAATTCTGCTTATCAGAATTGCATCATGGAATATAAAACTTTATGTAAACATAAAATGGTCAGATGAATCATCATGTAAAAAAAGTATTAATAAAAGTGAACACCTTGCCCCTGAGTCAGATAGCTATTAGCATTCAATACTTGCCAGCATTGAATATTGTCACTATTGTTAAATTTTTTATTTCATTATGGTAAGAAAACTTAGCATGAGATCTACCCTTTCAACAAAATTTTAAGTGTACCCTACAGTACTGGGTTCCCTGGGCTCAGCACTATAGGGTAGGTTTTTAGAACTTACTCGTGGTGCCTCATGAACACTTCATGCCCACTAACTAGAAACTTTCCATTCCCCTCCTCCAGGGCCATGGACCACACAATCCTACTCTCTGATCCTGTGAATGTGACTATTTAGTGCTATTGAGAGGTGAATACAGTATTTGTCCTTCTGTGTGTGACTGGTTTATAGTGCTAAGCATAATGTCTTCAAGGTCCATGAATGTGGTCACATTGCAGGATTTTGTTATGTTTTTAGACTGAATTATATTCCATTGTATGTATATACAATATTAGTCCTTGTAGATTCATCCATCCATGGATATTTAGGTTGTTCCAATCTTGGCTTGAGTGCTGCTGCAGTGAACATTGACTGGTGTTCTAATACCCCTTGGATATCCTGATTTCAATTCTTTTGGCTAGATACCCAGAAGTAGGGTTGCTAGGTCATATGTAACACTTTATAATTTTTTTAGGTACTTGCTTACTGTATTTCATAGCAGTGGAACTATTTTGCTCTCCCACCAAAGCTAGACAACTTCCCACATTCTCTCAATATATTTTCTATTTAAGTGATGAGTGCTATCCTAACAGGTGTAAAGTGATATCTCATTTTGAAATTTTTTTTTGGGTACTGTGGCTTCATACTTGCTAAGCAGGCACTCTACCACTTGAACCATATCTCCAGTCCATTTTGTTCTGGTTATTTTGGAGATAGGGTCTCTCTTTTTGCCCAGGTATGCCTGAACCATAATCTTCCAATTTTAAATGTCCTGCTGTGGCTAGGATGACAGGCAGATGCTACCATATCTAGCTCTTTTCCATTGAGATGATGTTGTATTAACTGTTTGCTTAGGCTGGCCTGGAATTATAATCCTCTCATATAGCTTGGGATGACAGGCTTGTTGCTATCACACCCAGCTATTGGTTAAAATGGGGATCTCACAAAGTCCCTGCCCAGGTTGGCCTCAAACCACAATTTGATCCACCTCAGCTTACCAAGTAGGTGTATCACGTAGATCATGTATAGCTTGATTTGCAGTTCTGATGATTAATGATGTTGATCATGTTTTCATATATCTGATAGTCATTTGTATGTCTTTCTGGAGACATGTCTATTCAAACTTTTGCCCATTTAAAAAAATTGATTTATTAGGATATTTTGAATACTGTTTTTTATTTTAGCAGTTCTAATAGCTATATCATGATATGCCACATTGACTTTAATTGTGATTTCCCTAATGACTAATCAAGCTAACTGCCTATTGATATGCTCACTGACATTCATATATTCTTTCTGGTAAAATATCTCTTTATATCTTCTGCCCATTTTCTAATTGGATTGTTTCTTGCTTTACTGTTGAGTTTTAACCATTCTATACATTAGATAGGAGTCTCTGTTAAGATGTGGGTTTCAAGTATTTTCTCCTTGTCTTAGCTTGCTCTTCCATCCTTTTTAATGATCTTTAATAAAACAAAAGGTTTTGGGGGAGTCAGATGTGGTGGGGAATGCCTGTAAATCCAGCTACAGGCAGAGATAAGGAGGGTCACAGTTTGAGGCCAGACCCAGGAAGAAAGCATGAGACCCTATCTGAAAAATAACTAAAGCAAAAAGGACTGGGGTATGGCTCAAGTGGTAGAGCACTTGCCTTGCAAGCACAAGGTCCTGAGTGCAAACTCCAGTAACACCTATACATAGAGAGAGATTAGATATAGATATAGATAGATATAGATATAAACATTTTTCTTTTATGTATCTTGCTTTGAGTCCTAATAAGAACTCTATGAAAACTGAGGGTTTTGTCCTATGTTATCTTCTGTCAGTTTTATAATTATTCATTTAAATCCATTTTAATTTAATTTGGTTTGATGTTTAGATTCTTTTTTGCCTTGTGGCAAGCGAGGGATAGCTATGGATTTCCAGTTGGTCAAATACTATCTGTTGATAAGATTGTCCTTTGTACCTTTCTCAAAGATCAGTTGTCCACATTTGTATGGAGATGTTTCTTGATTCTCTGTTCTACTCTTCGCAAATACAATAGTCTTGTTCTCTTCAGTCATTTATTAAGTCCTGAAATAAGGTAGAATTATACTCCTCCTTCCTTGTTTTCCAAATTGACTTGATTACTCAACATCATCTTTCTATGTAAAACTTTAATGTACCTTTTCACTCGTTTCTTATCATTTTCCCTACATGTTTTATTTTTGGTTTGGTTTTTAGGGAGTTTTCTTCTTTCACTCTTTCTTTCTTTTGTATTATTTACATTTCTTTATTGCCTCCTCCCATTAGCTTGGAAGTACATGATATTTTACTCTTCTTTTAGCACTTTACTTAGAGCTTATAAAAATCTTAACTTCACTTTTGCCTCTACCCTCTTCCTAGACAATCTTAAAATAATTTATTTTATTCTCCTAACATATATGATGGTCTATTTTTATTTTATGCAGACATATGTATTGTTGTTGCTGTTCCTTTTGTTTGTTCATTTTTTTATTATTGTTGTACTGGGGATACATTGTGACATTTACAAAATTTATCACAATATATCATCGTTGAATTCTCCCCATCCATCATTCTCCTTTATTCTCTCTTCACCCATTTCTGGAATAGCTTTAACAGGTCTCATTTTTCCATTTACATGACCCTCTTAGCTTCCACATGGTCTCATTTATTTTTTACTTAAACAATGCTCTTTGCTGGGTGTGGTGGCACTTTGTTGAGTGTGTGGTAATCCCAGCACTCAGGAAGCTGAGACAGGATAATCTAGAATATGAGGACAGCCTGAACTACAGAGTGAGACCTTGTCTCAAAAAAAAAAATGTTCTTTTAACATTTCTTTCATTATTGGCCTGCTGGGTAAAGGAAAAAATTGTTTTGAATATTTTTGCCTGACCTATAATCTACTTTATCAATTCTTTCTTTAGCTATATCTGAACTGCTACTAAACCTATCCATTGAGTTATTAACTTTGGTTAGGGTATTTTTTTAATTTAGAACTTTAACTTTAGAACTTTATAATTGCAGTATAAAGTTTTTATTTTTTGCTTTCATACTGTCTCTTTTCTCCTTGAATAACACAAAGTACAGTTATTCTAAAGGTCTATGCCTGACAACAACAATATCTGTAACCTTCACAATATTTCTACTCTAGTGTTTCCATTCATTTCATCCATGCAACCTTGTCTAATTGTGCGTAAGGATTTTTCCCTTATGTGCCAGATGGGTTTTGTAATATTTTTTATAGAAATGAAGTGAGGACTAGGATGGTATTATCACTCATTAGGAAGTAATTGTGTTCATTTCTACTAAACATCTATGGGTATCTGCAATCTGGGATCTCCTCAATTTAACTATGGAGATTAAGAAGATTCTAAAATGAGCTTCCATTTCTTTGAGAATATTTTTACTTTACATTTACATTTTCCCCTTGCTCTTTAGGAATTCCAAACCCTAGGAAAACAAGTCCCACCAGTATTTTCCCTTTTTCAAAACTTGAAGTGTAGTTTTTGTATTCTTAGCCCTCTAAACCTATCAGATGGGCTGTTCAGCCTCTTACTTGTTCAGCTGAGCTAGAAAAATTGGCCTTAATCACTGATCTCTATTCATCATCTTGCTGTCCTCTATTTTCAATCCCCTTACTTCATGGGCTCATTGTCTACTTCATTCCTTGAACTCTTAAGGTACTGACTGTTCTCTCCCTTCATCAACTACAAAGCCTTTGCCATACAGTGCCCCTGAAGCAAAAGAAGCAAAACTCCCATGGGAATAAGATACTCACAGTGCTTCCTCCACTCTCCCCTGCCCTTCCTTCATGTGACCAAAGATATTAGAGCCAGAGTCACTACTGCCCATTTTTGCAAGTATGGCACTCACAGTGAAACTAGTTCAGACTTTCTGTCTTTGTGCTGCTAATTGATGTTAAGAAAATTTTGCCTTCTCTTGTCTCACATTTCTATGGAGGACTTTCTTCTACCATCTGGCCTCTCTGGAGGACTTTCTACTACCATCTGGCCTCTCTCCTCATTCCTTTCCCATACTTCCTTATGGAAGGATGAGTTCAATGTGATGTGAACTTGAGGGAAGGTTCTGTGGGCTGTGACACCTTACAGAGATGGTTGTCTATACAGAGAAGCATTGCATTCTGCTCTCAACTAGGTGAGATGTTCCCTGCAAGAGGAATGAGTGTAAGATTTAATCCACTATAGATAGTAGAGAAGATATTATATGCCTACTTGACCACAAATTAAACTGTATTCCTTGATCCAGTTTGTATCACTAATGGTAGTAATATTTTCTCTCCCTTTGTTTCACTTTTATCTCATATTTCAACAGGTTCCAAACTCAGAATGGGGAAAGAGGATGTGATTTGATTTCCTAAAAGCCCCAAGCAGTGATTGACCAAAAACTTCCTCCTGACTGTAAGTTGTTCTATGGAGGAAGCTTTCATCCTTATCTTTATGTGTGTCATCATCCCAAGTCACACTTGCATCTTCAAGCAATAGTAGTGATACATTCATCCATATGGTTTTTCCTCTCTATTGCCACATGTTATTCATGGCCTGAGATTAATGACGAGGTCATAGTGAACTGAAAACAAAGGATGTGCAGGAATTTTCTCATGGACACAGAGACTGACTATCATGGAATGGAGCAAAAGCAGCTGAGCAACCTGTGCCTTCTGCCCACAGCTATCATATCCAAATTTACTTTCTCTAACCAAATTGTTAATTGAGGTTACATTTTTGAGGAATGTCTTGTTATGCAGGCCTGGATGGCCTTGAATTCACCATTTAGTACAAGTTGGCTTGGAACCTGGCAATTCTCCTGCCTCAGTCTGCTGAGTTCTGAGATTATAGTATATGCCACTGTATCCAGCAGTAGTTTACATTTTTATACTTGTGACTTTTTAGAATAATTTATACAGGGCTGGGGATGCAGCTCAGTAGTAGAGTGCTTACCTAGCATGAGCAAAGCCTTCAGTTCAATCCCAGCACCAAAAAAACAAAAAAAAGAGAGAGAGAAAATTCATGTAAAAAACAATAATATACTTCAGATCCACCAGTTGAGACCTGATGTCATCTAAAGCAAGACAAAAATTTCCTAAATCCACCTAGAAGAAAAGAGCCTCAACAGTATTAATAATAGTGTGAACTTGGTCCCCAGATCCCAAACTGTGTTTATGTAGATATAGTCATAGATAAGTCTCCTTTATCTTAAATATTTCCATGACCTTTTATTTTCCTTTTTTCAGAGAATGTCTGCTCATTGCCACAGCAGTGCTCCAACAGAATGTTTTGGCAACAGTCCCGACTATGGTCAGCAACTCCTTAAGCAGCTGGGATTTCTTAAAACAAGTGAGTAGCATTTGCCTTGCAGTGCTCCAGCAACAAAACAAGCAAAGCTTCCATGGGAATCAGATATTTACAGAGCATTCTCTCTCTTGCCCCTGCTCTTCCTTCATGTAACCAAGGAGGTCAGAGCCACTCATGCACATTTTGGCAATTACAGTGCTCACAGTGGAGCTTATATACAGATACAATCCTAAACACTAGGCCCTGCCACACATCACAGGGAACTTCTTGATTACACTGATTGTTGGATGAATAACCTGAATGTGTCAAGTTGAAGGACTTGTGACAGATCAAAACTGTATCCCCTGTAGCAGACACTTGTCACCCAGTGAGCGTGTGTGTGTGTGTGTGTGTGTGTGTGCGTGCGTGCGTGTGTGCTTGGTGAGGAGTACAAGGTTCAGCTAAAGAAATTCCCAAAGCCAACAAGATTGTGGAGTGAATAAACATAAACTTAAGCACGTAGCTTTTTCTTAACTATAGCCGACAAAGTAAAGCAAAATCCAGCAACAATATCAATATACACATACACACAAGTCCCCAAATATTCAAATTTTCATGGTTCTGCAGTGATTGATGGTACTTACCTAGAGACAAAGGGAATCCAAGGTAAAAATCACAAGCAGCAACTTAAAATGCAGCAGTCTTGTCTGGCTAATCCAACTTGAACAAAGCCACTGCAAGGAGTCAGCCTCCAACTTAAAAAAATGGGACCATGCAAATATACCCTTGACTAAAATTCAGCCTTACACTCCAAGTTGTTGCCATAATCTAATAATCTTCAAGCAAAATAACTGAACAAGTTTTATTGGGCCACCCAATAAAATACCATATGAGAACCTAGAGGTGGAAACATCTGTGAGAAATATTCAAGTGCTACAGAAGACCCTTACAGAAGCCTTAAAGATAGGCTGTGAGCTTTCTATTTTAAAAAAATAACAATCTTTATTAATAATATTTTAGGTGATCCTAAAACACTGTCTTGGTGTTGACTCATTTCTGCAAACATCTGCCTTCATTTTGAGGAACTGGTAATAGTCCTACTACCAGTGCAGGCCAATGAGTGGCACACACTTCCACCTTTTGATGAGAAAGTTTTAAAACCCACATTAGGCAAAAGAGTGTTTCTCAGAAGAAAAACAGGCAGTTAGCTTTGACAAAGGGCTATTTGAATCATCCCAGAGCAATACAGATGCTGGAGAGAGAGAAGATTGAGAAATTATTCATATGTGCATACAAGGTTGAGAATTGTTCTAAACCGATCCACTTGGTTACTTCCTCTGCTTGCAACACTGCTGCAAAAAGAGGAAATGGGGACACCCAGGCTGAATAACTGTCTTCAGTCAAAGCTGTTAGGAAATCCTCTCAATAACCTATGATATCACCTATGATGACACAGATGTCATCTTCCTTATAGAACTTTGCTCCAAAAGCAAGATTTACAGAGTTTTTTCATGCAGACTATTGATACTAAAATACAAGCCAATGACTTAGGCAAAAAAAAAAAAAAATGCAACATCTCAGGCAAAGTCCTTCCAGGAATTAAAATTTTGGCATTAACTCCACCACTAATCAAATAAACAGTAAGACATGGTAAGCTTTAGCTCAGATGGAGACTCAAAGTTTGGACCAAAACTTAGGAGCTCCATGTTTCAATTTATCTCTGTCAGAGTTCTCCCTGAGTTTGTTTCATTCTTCTCAGTCTTAGAATCCTGACCTATTTAAAAAAGGGCACTGGGGTTGATAATACTTGCGAAGTTTCCAGATATCTGTGTCTGATTCCCCATGAACACATGAAATTAATGTATTTACTCTGCTTGTTTTAAAATACAGAAATGTATCTTTATTTTTAAACAAATGGAAATATCTCTATAACAATGTATACATAATAATAATGCACAACTGAGGCAGTGCCTCTCAAACAAAGGAAAGCTTAGAAAACTTAGCCACCAGAGAGCTCGTGGATTTGCCCAGTTTCTGTTGACTCTGCTGCTTGTGTGCCTGGAGTGGCACAGAATCAGCCAATGAAGAGCAGTGAATGCTTGAATAAGGGCTGACATCTTGACCCTCTCCTCCTGCTTTGAGCCTCCATTGATGGGCTGGGATTTGGGTCCTATGTAGGGTGGGGGAACGGGATGGGTGTTGGAGGAAGGTTGGTGGTGTCTCCGACTCTCAGTGTTCCCAGGCTGGTAGCAGTAGTGAGTGGGTGGTTAAGGCCACTGATGCCAGGGGTGCTGGGGTTAGTACTGGGTAGGGGCTGACCAAAAGAGGTGGGTGGTGCAGATATGGACAGGTAGAGGGCTGGGATCTGGAAGGAGCTTGGGGCCACTGGGTTGTGGTCACCAGAGGGAGGAGAAGCCCCAAGGGGAAGCCTTGAGAGGTCAAGGTGGTGGTGGAAGTGGTGGTGGTGGTGGTGGTGGTGGTGGTGGTAGTGGTGGTGGTAGTGGTGGTGGTGGTGGTAGTTGTAGTTGTTGAGCTGGTGCTGGCCACTCTGTTTACCCCCAAACCACTCATAGGCTGTGAGGAAGATAGATTGGCTGGACCAGTGGTGGTGAGTGTGGCTGGACTAGTGATCATGGGGTTACCAGTAACTAAAGCAGTTGTCTGCATTAAATGGTGGGCTGGCATGTATAGGAAATTAGGGGGTCTAATGAGCCCACTTTGGGGCTTGATGGGCAGGGTGGTGGTTTTGGTCACGGAGGGGGTTTTGTGGTGAGCAGAGGCTGGAACAGTGGTGGTGAGTGTGGCTGGACTAGTGATCATGGGGTACCAGTAACTAAAGCAGTTGTCTGCATTAAACGGTGGGCTGGCATGTATAGGAAATTAGGGGGTCTAATGAGCCCACTTTGGGGCTTGATGGGCAGGGTGGTGGTTTTGGTCACGGAGGGGGTTTTGTGGTGAGAAGATGCTGGAGCAGTGGTGGTGAGTGTGGCTGGACTAGTGATCATGGGTCTACCGGTAACTAAAGCAGTTTTCTGCATTAAACGGTGGGCTGGCATGTGTAGGAAATTAGGGAGTCTAATGAGCCCACTTTGGGGCTTGATGGGCAGGGTGTGGTTTTGGTCACGGAGGGGTTTTGTGGTGAGCAGAGGCTGGAACAGTGGTGGTGAGTGTGGCTGGACTAGTGATCATGGGGGTACCGGTAACTAAAGCAGTTTTCTGCATTAAATGGTGGGCTGGCATGTGTAGGAAATTAGGGGGTCTAATGAGCCCACTTTGGGGCTTGATGGGCAGCGTGGTGGTTTTGGTCACGGAGGGGATTTTGTGGTGAGAAGAGGCTGGACCAGTGGTGGTGAGTGTGGCTGGACTAGTGATCATGGGGGTACCAGTAACTAAAGCAGTTGTCTGCATTAAACGGTGGGCTGGCATGTGTAGGAAAGTAGGGGGTCTAATGAGCCCACTTTGGGGCTTGATGGGCAGGGTGGTGGTTTTGGTCACAGAGGAGGTTTTGTGGTGAGCAGAGGCTGGAACAGTGGTGGTGAGAGTGGCTGGACTAGCGATCATGGGGTACCGGTAACTAAAGCAGTTTTCTGCATTAAACGGTGGCCTGGGATGTATAGGAAATAGGGGTCTAATGAGCCCACTTTGGGCTTGATGGGCAGGGTGTTGGTTTTGGTCATGGAGGGATTTTGTGGTGAGAAGAGGCTGGGAATGGGCCCACCTGTGTGGAAAGAAAGGGTTTTTTTCCCTGGCTTTTAGTTGAGGTCACCCAGAGGCTGTTTGTCATGGAAGTGGCAGAGGTCCGGCCAGGACCAGTAGAGGAGGAATGGTTGGTAGGCATGATGCCAAGGGCCTTTGGGTTTTGAGTGGGGGCAGGCCAGAGGAGACCTTGTAGTTTGGATGATACTGCAACTTGAGGGCATGGAGGGGATGACGTATCCATGGGTACAACTGGGATAAAGTAGGTGCCCTCCCCACAGAAGTTGCTGAAAATATAGGGGGCCTTGTAATTTGACTGAAACTGAAAGCTTGAAGGGGTGGAGGGGATGATGTATCCATAGGTACAACTGGGGAGGAAGTAGTTGCCCCCCACAGAAGCTGCTGAAGATGTTCCTGCAAAGGTCACTGAATGTGACGGACTAAGAACAGCTGGAAGACCAGTTGCCTTTGGAGGTGCGGGAGCTACAGTAGTAACCACACCAACCGCCACTGGAAAGGATGGTGGGGCCTGTAGATTCTGCACCTTTTTCAAGTGTCCAACCAGTGGGATAGTGCTTAGGCCTGAGGTGGGGATGGAGGCTGGCAAGGAAACTGGCCTTTCTGCGGTCAGGGTCAATCTGTGGCCGGGTCGCTTGGCAGGTGCAGGAGTTCCAGTGCTAACCATCGGCAGGTCCTTGTAAGGATGGTGTGCAGTCAGGGTTCAGCATGGTCTTTGGGCTGGCCAGCACTGGAGTAGCACCTGGGCCTGGTGCAGGGGTTGTAGTGCTAACTACATCAGCCGGTCCTGGTAAGGTTGGTGTGCAGTCAGGGATCTCCACGGTCTTCGGACTGGCCAGAAGTGGGCTAGCACCTGGGTCTGGGGCAGGAGTGGGGAGGGAGGCTGGCAAGGAAGCTGGGCCTGCTGCAGGCAGGGTCGATGTGTGGCTGGGTGGCTTGGCAGGTGCAGGGGTTGCAGTATTAACTACATCAGCCGGTCCTGGTAAGGATGGTGTGCAGTGAGGTATCTCCACGGTCTTCGGACTGGCCAGAAGTGGGCTAGCACTTGGGTCTGGGGCAGGGGTGGGGAGGGAGGCTGGCAAGGAAGCTGGCCCTGCTGCAGGCATTATGAAAGTGAGGCAAGGCTCCTTAGTGACACAGTTAGAGGCCACAACAGTCTTGTCCTCCAGAGCCTTGCTAAACCACTCAAATCTGGCCTTCTTCTCTCTATGGACTTCAGGAGTGATAGGATAGGCAAGCAGGGGAGGTAAAGGGCAGGTCAGTGGGTCCCCACGCCGCTTGCGTTTCCTGCTCCCAGAGCTGCCAGGTGTGGGTAGTGACATGGAAGACTTGTGCTCCTTCCTTGTCGTGTCATCTGTAGCCCTTTCTCCATGGGACTCTGGCTGCTGGCAGTGAGAGGAAGCTGGTCCAGAGAAGAGGGGTGAGGTGTGTCCCCTTCTCTTCCACAGCTGGGAGATGCCTCCAGTGGAGCTGTAGGAACTTGTGATTGCATTGCGCTTGGGCACTGGGATGCCACACGTGACCTTGCTTGGCGGGGAGCACCTAGAACATGTGCGTGCCCGCTTACTTAAGGGGTCATCAGAGGTCTCAGACGCGAGACTTCTCTTCAGGGGTACAGGTTTCTGTACAAGACTAGCAGAAGACCCATCAGCCGGGAGGGGTTCAGTTGTTG